TTTAAAGCCCTTCCTAGCACAATTGACGCGAAGGCTCGGTGGCTAAGACGCTGAGCTTGTCGATCAGAAAGGTTGGCAGTTTGTGGTTCGAATCCCTAGTGCTGCATAACGGAGTGAGCTCCCGTTACTTGTCCCAGCTTCTGCCAACCTAGCAGTTCGAAAGCACGTAAAAATGCAAGTAGAAAAATAGGAACCACATTTGGTGGGAAGGTAACAGCGTTCCATGCACCTTTGGCGTTTAGTCATGCCGGCCACATGACCATGGAGACATCTTTGGACAGTGCTGGCTCCTTGGCTTTGAAATGGAGATGAGCACCGCCCCCTAGAGTCTGGAATGACTAGCACATATGTGCGAGGGGAACGTTTAACTTTAAATTACAAATCCTGTTAAATTTTTAATTTCATTTCCAGCAGCTCCCTAGAACTGAAATACAGTAATATGGGAAGGGATGTGAACTAATTTTGGAAATCAGCCCTTATTCCATTGTTTCAGCTCTGTGGACTTTGCTCTTTACCACATTCTAATTTAAGTTTGTTTCGCCTTCAGGAAATTTCTTCCGCAGCCTTTGGGGACCATATTCTGGATGGGCGCAAGCGGTAAGTATGAAATAGTTTTCCTCTTCTCCTATTACTGCTTGGTGCCCACGGTTGCCAGAGGAGGTAAGATGCCAGACTAGAAGAATCTTTATATTTGCTGTATAAACTTTCTCTCTCCGTTATATTAGGAAACTGCAGGACCCATTTTAGCTCAACAACAGTAGAATCTGAATTCTCATTTTTTTAAAGGAAGTCTCTCTTCCTCGTGGTAGAGGTGGAACCCACACAGTCTAGTGGGGGGACATATTTGTGATTGGGGAGCTGAATTAGTGGATAGTAGTTTGGTCCAATGGTTTAAGTCATGGATTCTAGTCCTCCTATGGACATGGAAACCGGCTGGGTGATTTAGCACGTTGTTCTCTTGTGAACCCTAGAAAGAAGCCAATAACAATCCTTTCTAAAAATGTTACCTAAAAACTGTATGGATTTTTCTATGTAGTTACTAAGTTGGGCTTAAGAAAACAAAAACCCACAGTGGGCCAGAATAGATTCTTCTCTCACATGCTCACTTATATAGAGCTTCCCTTTGCTTTCCCCTTTCTTTCTCCTTTCCTTTCCTTTTCTCCTTTCCTTCCCTTTTTCCTTTCCCTTTTCCTTATAGACATATCCCCTCATATAACCAGAGGAAGTATTCTGCCCGTTCGGACTAGTTCGCCCAAACCGGTAGTAGAAATCGCGGGTGGGCCAGCCCCGGCTCTATGCCCATCCTATTTAGGCCCTTTTTTTAGCCAAAGCACATGCGCGGAAGGCTGAGTGCATGTGCAGACAGGTAGCTCACATTTGCGAACCGGTAGGGAAGGTAAGTAAATCCCACCCCTGCATATAACCCACTTTGTTCTATATAGACGGAAGCAGCCAAGATGGAGGTTCTTGGCTGAAGCTTTCCGCAGTGACGCAGATGAAGATTGATGGCGTCACTAGTAGAAGTGGAGCAACTTTCTCTTTCTAGCTACATGCAGGTCAGGTGGATGCTGGGAAGAAATTGAGAGGATCTGCAGATCATGGTTTGATCGCTTGACTCCCAAGGATCCAGTCATTACCTCAGGGATTAGAAACAGGAAACAGGAAAAGGGGGGAATACAATTTCTAGTAGATAAGTCGTTGTTCAGCGTGCCAGGCCCCTCTGTCCTCCACTGTCTCCCAGAGTTTGCCCAAATTCATGTCCATTCCGTCGATGGCACTATCTAATCCGCCCCCTTCTTCTCCTTTTGCTTTTAGTCTTTCCCAACATCGGGGTCTTTTCCAATGAGTTCACTCTTTTCATTTGATAGCCAAAGTATTTGAGCTTCAGCTTCAGTATCTGTCCTTCCAAAGGACAGCCAAGGTTGATTTCCTTTAGGATAGACTGATTTGATCTCTTTGGGAGTTGCAAAAATTTGAATAATCACTAGGGGGAAGTACTGAGACAGGAAAAAAATCTCTCCTCTTGGCTGCCACCCACAGGTGACCTCGATGTTAGCAGCCATACCTGATATGTCCCATTTTAAAAAAAAATATTTTAACCCT